GCAGCAGCTGTTGTCTGGGACCTGCCTAAGAAAGACCTGGGTTTGCCCAAGCCTCCGCCTGCCCCTCGGAGGTCACATGCACACATCTGTGTCCATGCAGCCAGCCCACCTGTTGGTGCTTTCTCCCTCACAGGAGGAGATGGGCATTTCCTGTGAGCTGTTGGAGCCGGACTTCCTCAAATGCAGCGTGGGATTTCCTTTCATGAGGTCAAAGTCAAAGGTAAGGGACAATGACAGGGCACTGCCTTGATGGCACACCGCCCGCCCCACCCCTCACGCCCCCAGCCCAGCCCTCCAGCCTATGGCTCCACCACTGCTTCCCCCATAAGGTTCCCCCCACACCCCTCCCTCCCACATCAGCTGTGGTCACCACCAAGGCCCTAGCTGGGACACCCTCTCTGGTCCACGTCTTTGTACTGCAAAGGGGCCGTGGTGACCTGCTGCCTCCCCTTAATTCTCAAGACATGCCCGAATGTTAGAAACACCCAGGGCCAAGCAGCACCTGGTGGGCATTCCTAGAATGTTTAATTCGGGGAGGACTTTGCATGATGTTTTTCAGCTCTCTAGGCAACGGAGGAGGAGAACATGTAGTCTAGGATAATGTCCCAGAATCCTACCTCTGTCCCTCTGCCGGGTACTCTCAATGTTATGAAGCGGCCTCTCAAAATTCTGATTCTAAGCGAATCCTTGTATTCGTTTTCAAAACAGAAAAAAAAAGGGGGGGGGATGGAGATTAGTCAATGTGTGATTGTGACGGACCAAGGTTTCTAAGCTCAAGCATTAACCGAGCAGCACAGCACAGCACAGTCCTGTACTGGCGGAGCGTCCCGGTAAGTGCAGACATCATGAGGGGATGCTACAGCTGCATGGAAAACGTGCTATTTGGAGGCAAAGCGAGGCTCTGAAAGACCAAGGCGGCCTTTGGAAAGAGCAACTCTTTGCTCTGCTATGATTGGGAGGAAGTGCCGTATTCCTTTGTCTACCTTCTTCCTGGAGCCCCCTCTCCTGCCTGTGTCAAAGAAGGAGGCCGTTTTAATCTCGGGTGTTTGGGTGTCGGTACCTGGCAGCTGTTTTCTAAACCGACCATGCGAAGGTTCTCAGGAGAAAAGGAGGCTTTGCTCCTTCCTTAAGGATGTAACAGCCCCGGAGTCTACAGTGGCTGTCACATTCATGACCCCCAGCCTCTCTGGCTTCGACCCCCATCGTCATCCCCCAACCTGTCTGCACTTGGCCCTTTCCTCTCAAAAGAGGAAACCTTACAAAGTGACTGGCGACACCCCCACCCCCACCCCCAACAGTTGCCATTTCATGGCAAAGTCTACCCTCCTTGACAAAGCAAGCCCAAGGTGTGTCTTGCTGTCTGCAGGGAAGCCTTACTGTTCGGTCGAAAGCACCGACTCCCAGAGCAGCCCTGGAGCTGGTAGAAGTACCAGTGTCAGGCTTTGGTACTCGTCCACCATATTTCCTCCCAACAGCAGGCACCACTGCCTTCCTCCCATATGCAAATGCTAACAAGGAAGCCTGCGAGGTGAGAGAACCATTCCCTGGGGAAGGCCAAAGGCGGTTGCTAACGGAGCGACATGTCCCCAGACTGTAGCCCAGCTTGCCTCCCCTGCCCTCCAGACCCTGTGGTTGGCCGGCCTCCAGGCCCCCTGCTGGGTCTGGACCCCCCCGAACTAAGGCTTACCTCCGTGCACCTCCCCCGTTCGCGTGCAGCTAGCCCCCCAGCGTCTGGCCCGTTCATTCGCTCTGTCCACCCAACTCGGATTTAACTCTTCCACTCTGTCCTTGGCTTCTCAGGCCCACCTTTCGTGTGTAGAATTCCAACTGCCAGCCCAGTTCTGATGTGTTGCTGAGACGAGACCCCTGACTTTCACTTCCCGTATCGTCCAGCCCTGCTTCCTTGTCCTGCCTCCATGCCTCCGCGCTCACTGTACGCTGACAAGTCCCACTGAGAGACGTTGCTGTCTAGGGCTGGCCAGAGTCCTCTGTTGCTGCCCAGTACCTTCCGACAGTCTTCAGCACATCAGATTTCAGCTGCCGCTGTGGTTCACTGGTGTTTGTCATACTGGAGCCCACATGTTTAGAAATTTTGAAATGTTATAGGCTCTTGGAGCTTGGTGGGATTTGAAGAGCCATTTTGTCCAGCCTCCTCTTTATATTGAAATGCAAAGAGGTTGATTGCCTTGGCCCGGAGCACGCCAGTTGTGGAAGAGCCTTGCTCTGTAAGTCCTAGCCCCGGCTCCTTCGACATGTCTGGCCCATGGCAAGTCTTACATCAGAGCGGTGGAAACCTTTTGCTCACAGCAGTTTGACCCACATCACAGGCTGCTTACCCATGGGGGCCGGTGTGTGTGCCCAAAACAACTGTGTTCCTTGAGATTATTTTTAGGTGCTACAGAGACCCAGCACTACCCAACATGGGCTCTCATAGTGAGGGGTCATTAGCTTCTCCACACGCTTAACCGCAGCCACGTGTAAGGGAAAGTCTCTGGAGGCCTGACCTTATCTGTAACCCCCACCACTTTCCCACCTCCCCATTGCACAGAGACACTGTAGACCGTAGGCTCAGAGACAGTGTCAGGTTTACCCAATAAACAAGGTAAGCACAGGCTTACTTGTGCTTACTTACTAATCTGTAGCGGACACTTTCACATGGGTCTCACAACATCAAACTTTCCGCTTCCAGGTAGGACGGGCATCTGCCCGCCTCCCAGCCTGGAAGCACCTCCGTACAGAATCGAGGCCTCTCTTCAAATTGTCAATCTTTGACCCAGGAAAGGGTGCCCAGGAAGCCGGGTCAGCACCGGCCGACTTGTGCTTGTTCACTAATCTGCAGTGAACCGTGGACGTGGTAAGAAACGTGTGGAACTGTTCGCTACAGATCGGTCAGTAAGCACAAGTCAGCCTGTGCCGACCCTGCTTCCTAGGCCACCTGGGCGAAGGCTAGGAGGTGTCAGTCACAACAGACTGCAGCCTCGGTTTTCATGGTGCCCGTTTTATGACCACCTGTATGGTGGTCACCTTGGCTCCCACCTATGGCATGGACCTCAGGTCTCCCCTGGCAACAACATTGAGGGTCAGTGAGAGAGGTGGCGACCACATGGCTGAAAAATGCCATCGCAGGCAATATGCAGGTGATCTGGGAGGGAAATTGAGCCCCAAACCAGGGCGTCGTCAACTCATGACGCCACTGGGTGCAGTGTAGGCAGTCGGGGTTCAAGAGAGCGATGCTCCGCCATCTCAACCAGCCCGGGACTGCAAAGGCCAGAGACAGCCTCGCACCGGGCTTTCCTCTTACAAGTGTGGCCCTGGTCTGACGATCAGAAAGATAGCCATACGCCTTCCAGCCTGCCCTGCAGATGGGCTGCCAGAGATCAGACACTCCGGCGACTGCAGCTGCCCCCAGTGGAGCTGGGACTGTCTGCGGATTCCCGCCGACGTGCCTCCTTGTTTCCGCAGTATGAATTCAGCGTCATCTTTGACACGAGCCACCTGTCTGGAGAAGAGGAGGTTCTTACATTCATCATCACGGCTCAGAGGTAAGGGGAATTTTTCCTATTATGATGGAAATGACTTTGCCCTGGTCCACTTTGATGATCCCCAAGACTCTGAGGAAGAGGAGAAGGGTCATTCTACAGCCTGAACCAGTAGAGGTGGTTGTCTTCCTCTGGTTGCATAAGGCACTGCTTCCAACTGAGCTGGGAGGGACAGAAATCATGCCATCGGCCCAGCTCGAGCTGAGGTGCCAGCTCTGGGAGACCAGCCTTGCCTGAGCGGGAGGGTTCTCCTTCAGGGTCACATGGTTAGTCAGCTCCTATGGCACCGTGTTTCCCAGATCCCTCAGCAAGATGACCTCTGTGGGTTGTCAGGCAGGACCAGGGCTTCCCATGGGCATGGATGGTGGGTGGCGGAGGTACTGTCAGCCTGAGAGCCTGGTCTGCTGTTGACAGAGACCTCTTGAGAGACTTCCCCCAAGAGAGAGACACCAAGTGGACACATCTGGAAGGGGCAGGCCAGTGGCTCCCTCTCCCTTCAGGAGTGGAACCTGCTCCTTTTCATTTGAGCTGTGAGCCCATGGGAAGGTCTTTGGGAGATCAGGAGGTGCTTCCTCAAGCCAAATATGTGGCTTCCTTAAAGTAACTGCTAGGTAATGCTGACGGCTGGGCTGGAGCGAGAGGTGCATAGGTGACTGGAGAAATCCGCAAACCCATTGCTTTTGAGTTGGTGCGCAGTCATAGCGACAGAGCAGGGCCGCCTGTAGGTATGTGAGGCCGTAAATCTTTACAGAGAAGCAAACTGCCCCATCCTTCTCCCACACGGTGGTAGTGAGCTCCAACGCCGCCCACCCCTTCCTCTCGTGCACTTCGGGGCTCCTTAGGATGAGTAAATAGGAAGGTGTTTTTGTTGTTAGCTGCCAATGAGCTGGCCCCTGCCTGGTGCTACTGAACAGAGCCCACCCAGGTGTTCCTTGGCTGCAATGTTCACAGAAGCGGCTCGGGCTCTTCTTCCACGGAGCCACGGCTTAAGTTTGAATCACCAGATGTGGGGTTAGGTTGGGAGATGAGCCAAAGTGGCACTTGGATTCTCGGAGCAGCCTTTTTGTTTAAATTTTCACTTGGAAATAGAAATTCCTATGGGAATCATTTTCACTCTCAAGCAGAATGGTCATTGCACGGCAGTGGGCTTGTGTGTGGCCCAGCCTACCCCGTTACACCATGAGGGTGGTGGAGGCTGGAGTAAATTGGTAAATCCTGAGCCATCTCAGAGGAAGCGTGGGAATGAGCAGGAGTAGTGGAAGACGAAGCTCAGAGAGGAGATTGAGATGGGTGGGGGTAGGGGTGGGGAGGAGGGAAGAGAAGCATTTGAAAAGATTCCAGAGGCAGTGGAGAGCCACAAACACAGTGCCACAGTACGCTTCCACAGACCGTAAAATGGGGGGGCTGTTGAATTTAACAGGAAGCACATGCCATGTGTTCATTCCGACCGACCTGAACATGTCCTTCTCCGGCTGCCATTTCTTGGAGCCCGTGGAAGACTCCCCATTGCTGGGCAGATTCATTCGTGTGTCTGTGGGGCTCTTGATGCCTGAGGCAGCCAGTATTCATTGTCATTAATGTTGGGCAGAAACAATGTGGTGGCTTCATCCAAGGGTGGGAACTCTGTCTCCCAACCCCACTCAGGGCTCCTCAGAGAGGAAGAGGGAGTGGGAAATGGTGACAGCTTCATTGGTGAGAAAACACATCCATCGGCCAGTGCTTCTCCAATGTTGAATGCACCTTGCAATCACTGGGGAGCTTTCAGAACGGTGGGTGCCTGGTCTTAGCCTCCTTCTCCCCCAGAGATTCTGTTCGTCTTACTCTGGAGTCAGACCTGCACCTCGGGATTGTTTTCAAAGGCTCCTCCAGGGATCGAATGAGCAGCTCTTCTGCCACAGACAGCTCTCTCTGCTCTTGTGCTTCTGCTGGGTTTTCTGTTCTTCGCTGTGGCCACACAGAACACTCAGACAGTGCTCACGATGATGGGGTTCATTATGGGGCCGAACCAGTCACAGCGGAGGTGAGGATTGTTCAGGCAGGACACATCACAGTGTTCTTTGAAGTACCCCCAAGAGCAGGCTACTCTGCTGCAAGCCTCAACAAGAAGGCTCTCGGCATTCCCAGCTCTCCAAATTAACTGCCCAGAGGCACCTCACTCCACAAGCCAACCTCTTGCCCCAAAGCACTCACTTTTAGGGGCTCTGTGGGCTGGGGTATCCATTGTTCTGGCTCATGCTCTGGCCCCTGGTTCTGCTGCTGTTGTTCCCCTGCCCCTCCGGATGTCACAGGTGTCTCCTGGGGTCCAGAGGACACACTACACTCCTGGCTCTTGCTGGTGGTGGGTCTCCCATTTCTACTTCTGAGATGGCTAACCAAGATGACCAACTGTTAACAAGCACTCAACAACTGAACCCTATCAGTGCCTTCCCCCACCTTCTCTTACCCAGACCCATCAAGAAAGGGTCCTTTGGTAGGAGTTGCAGAAGCTGTAAGAGCCATGTTAAATAATCCACTGCCCTGAAGTGGACAAAGCTGAGAACCACTATGCAAATCCCTCTGTGTGTGTGTGTGTGTGTGTGTGTGTGTGTGCAGGGGATGGTTTCCCTCAGCAAGCATCCACTGACCAGAACCAGTTGCCATCAAGTCTATTTCCGCTCATAATGACCTCAAGTGCTTCAGAGTAGAGCTGTGCCCCATAGGTTATTTATTAAAAAAAAAAGTTTCGTTGGCATATAACTCATAATTCAATAGTTCAATCATATTAACAAGAGTTGTGCGATCATCACCACAATCAATTTTAGAAGAGTAACTATTCATCTACTTAAATGGTTCTCAACTTGTGGGTTGCGACCCCTTTGGGGTCGAATGACCCTTTCAAAGTGGTCGTCCAATTCATAACAGTAGCAAAATGACAATGATGAAGTAGCAACAAAAATAATTTTATGTTTGGTGGGTCACCAACATGAACTGTGTTAAAGGGTCGCAGCATGAGGAAGGTTGAGGACCAGGGATCTAGATACTGTCTCTATAGATTTACCTACCCTAGATTTCATACACAGAAAAGCATACAAAACAAAAACATGAGACAAAACACAGAAAAACTTCAATAGAAAAGAAAGCAGAAATATTAAAAAGGGAAACAACTTTAAAATAGGTCAAAAGGGAGATCAAATGATAAGGAATTACATTCTAATCTAACTACATCTGCCACAGTCAGCTTTACAATGTTCTCTATTCATACCCCTTGATGATGGTCAGCGGGGCTCGGGTGGGGGGCATTCACCAGAGGCTAATCCACATGGGGACCCTGCAAATGGGTTTTGGACATCTGTCATCCATAGCCTTCTGCCAACTGAGTGTTTACCATTTAAGCTCTAAAACCATTGCCTCCTCCAGATGTGGATTTTATTAGTGCAATGCTTGGATCCCACAGACTGCTGTGCTTCTTCCATGTGGACTTCGGTGATGCCTCACTTAGATGGCTGTTATTTAAATACAAGTCTTTAAGATCCCAGACACCATTCTTTCTGATAGCCAGCCATCACCTGGTTTCTTCACCACACTTTGCTAAAGCACCATATCTTCAGGGATCTCTTCATGGGAGCAAATGTTGAGTAAGACCATATCATAAGAACTAATCTTCCTTAGATTAGGGCCATGATTAAATAGAATCCCCAAACCCATTTGTGTATCTAAAGTTTATCTGGTTCACTTTAGAGACAGCACTATCATTTTACTGGAGAACATTAAAAACCACCCCCACGGGGCATCAGATAACGCTATGGGTAAGATCATTGGTTTAGCCAATGGTACAGAATTTCAGTCCTATTGAGAAATCATAACGTGTTTAATGGCTGTGATTTTGTGAAAATAGACAGCAACATTTTCTTCTGAGGAGCCTCTGGTGCTTCGAACCTCCAACCTGCAGGTAGTAGCTAAGCCCAGAGATTCCAAACATCACTTACGCACAAGTCTCATTGCTTGTCAGATACAGTGCTAAGTGCCAGGCATGAAAATAAATGCCAACAACTAGCCAAACTCTAGGGGAAAAACAACAACAAACCAAACGCTTATGTACCTCAGCATGGCTACGCAGCAGCCATGGGGATGCCCAGTATTTGTAGTTTAAAGACTTAACTGTCAGAATCTTAAAATGCCTTGAGTCGCCCGTGTTAAGGCAGCCTTGTTGTCTGTTAAACACAACAGGCAGGAGACTAGCCCAGGCATGTGTTCTGTTTCTTTATAGGCTGTGATGAAAATCTGGTCTCACTGCTTCCCTTTCCCCTCCTTCCCCCTCCAAGGGTCCCCAGAGCACTTGACTCCCCGCTGTGATGGGATGATCCCTAAGGCTCCCTATCTCGAAAGCCCAGTTAAATATCAATTGCACCTTTCTTCCTGTCACCACTCTTTGAAGGTCTCTCTCCTGTCTGTGGATTTAGGAAGACATCCAGTTGAGGCTGAGCAGTTGCTAGTAGAAAGAAGGGCCTTGCC